AATCTAGGACCCCAGACCTTTAAGAAGTATATTAAGAATTATTAATATATAAGTTGCACCATATGCTTAAATGTATTTATTTTTTATCATTTACTTCTTGTCCACTTTGCGTCTGTGGCTGTTTTAACATTTATCTTTGACCTGAATGAATCATGAAATAGTTTATTCTTTGAAGATGTTTTGCAGTTATTTTGTGTTCTGTACAGTTTAGAGCATATTTTGTTACTTATTTAATTTTTAAGTTCTTTTGTTCATTCACTTTGGATGTGCACATATGTGTGCTATTGTCATGGTGTGCCCGTGGAGGCCAGAGGACGGCCTGCGGGAGTCAATTGTCTCCTTCCACCGTGTGGGGCTGGGGATCGAACTTACGTCATCAGACTTGGTGGCAGATGCCTTTACCCGCTGAGCCATCTCGCTGGCCAGAGAGTACCTTTTAGTTGCACTGACTCCTGGGGAAATTTGATCTGTTCAGAGTTCCTGGGTTCTATTTTCATTCTCAGTGTCCTATAGACATCCCATTATTTCTTAAAAATTTAATATGACCATGAAGAAGTATGATGTCAGCAAATGCTTCCCCCTTTCCTGGTAACCTAATCTCTTTATTTCTAGTTTATCCTCCCCCTGGCATTTGGAGCAGTCTGAGGGGACAAATCACCAATAGAATATGATGGAAGATATATGGCTTCCAAGGTTAGGTTACCAAATATGTCGAACGTCTCTCCTTGATCTTTTGGGTCCCTTGCTCCAGGGTAACCAGACACCAGGTCATGAGGACACTCAAGCAGCCTTGTGGGGAGGCCTGAGTGAACGGGGACCAATTTGGTAGCATCAGCTTCCTTTTCAGGTAGCCACTTGAGTGAGTGGATTCCACCATGGGAGTCAAGTCTTTGAGAACAACATGCCCCACTAATACTGGATTGTAGCCTCAAGGGACATCTCCAGGATGCTCTAGGCCCAACCTACAGAAAGGCTGAGAGACAGTATGTTCTTCTTGTTTGAAGTCACTATGTTTTGGAGCAATTATTACACAGTAATTATATAACTAACATATGTCCCCACAAGTAACATTTTTACTGTATATTTGTGTAGAGTTATCTGAGGGTCTATTATGTAGCCTTGATTTTTGTTTCTTTGCTGCTCACTAAAGCAAACATACGGATTTTGAATTTTTGTTACAGACCTACTTAACCTCAATGAATCAGGTTCTGTAAACAGATCACGATAGTTACTGTAATGTAAATCTTGATATCTCAGTGTCTTTATACAAGAAAGGTTTAGGTTTTTTGTTATTTATTTATTATGTATACAATATTCTTTCTGCATTATGCCTGCAGGCCAGAAGAGGGCATCAGACCTTATTACAGATGTTTGTGAGCCACCATGTGGTTGCTGGGAATTGAACTTAGGACCTTTGAAAAAAAAGGCAATGCTATTAACCACTGAGCCGTCTCTCCAGCCCAAGGTTTAGTTTTTTATGCAGGCAATGTCCAGAAGTTCAGATAATGAGGACTGGTTGGTACGGAGAGCTCTCTGCTCTCTGGTCATCCAAAGGTGATATCTTCCTAAGATGACATCCAGAGTTAATTCCATTTGCATTCCTACATTTACATTCATATAATCAAGGAGTTAAACCTTTCAAATATACTAAGAATTATTAATATATAAGTTGGAGCTTGTAACTATACTCACAACAATTACATTTGATTTCCCATATGCTTAAATATATTTAGTAATTATCAAAAATTCAGCAAAGGACTTGCTCACAGCTCCAGGACACTCCTAGGTGAAATGAGGGCGAATATGATCCAGCCAGAGCAGAAAAACTCTCCCAGTCAGCTGAGACTGTGGCGCCCACGTGGCCAACTAAAGTCCACTTAAAACCTGAGAGGGCTTTTTACAGTTTCTGTGTGATTATTTCGGTTCTGGGCGACCGGGATGAACAAGCGGCCTCCCTGCAACAAGTATGCTTCCTCTCCTACTCTAGCATCCCCAGGGAAAAACAAAAGGTGCACCTGGTTAGCCCATGCAGAGAAGCAAAAGGATCACATGGGTGAAAGCATCCCTAACATGAAGTCTTCATGTGGTTGCCAAGGTTTCTCTGATGATGTCCAGGAATGTATATGCAAACCTCTTTTTCTTTATTTATGACAATGGAAACCTGTTTGCTTTCAAGTCTGGAAACCTGGACCATTAGGTGTAGCACAGTTTAAAAAAACCCAGAGACAGAAATTGGGTTCAACCTGAAGGCCAGAAAAACAAAACAGCCATCCACCGGCTCTTGCCTCTACCTCAATCTGAAATGGGGATCCTGCCTCCAATCTCAGAATCAAACTGTGTATGAGAACTGTCTCCTCCCATCTTATATTCCTCTCTAGGGCTAGGATTAAAGGTGTGCACCACTACCACCCAGTTTCTATAGCAAACTAGTGTGGCTACTGGGATTAAAGGTGTGTGTCACCACTGCCTGGTCTGTAAGGCAGTGGGGCTGTTTTACTCTCTGATCTTCAGGCAAGCTTTATTTGTTAAAATACAAATAAAATATCACTACAGTTAGTGAATCACTTTCTCAGACATAGACTTAGTTAGAGGCAGCCTGCATTGTTGTTGTGAAGGGCTTAGCCAGGTGTCTCATTCCTGCCCTGAGGGGTCTCAGTAATTCATTTATTTATTCATCAAATGTTCTGTGTGTGTGTGTGCATACATATACAGGCGCGCACACACCATTGCATGTTTGTAGAAGTCAGAGGACAACTTGTTCTTCCACCATGTCCGTCTTGGCGATCAAAATCAGGTCCCTATGCTTGGTGGCAAGTGCCTTTATCTCCTGAGCCATCTCTAAAGCCCCAACAGAACAATTTGGTAAGTGAGGACGGCAATAGAAGGGCTCATGGGCATCAAGGGTCTGCAAGGGAAGTAGCAGCTAACTTTTTCTTAGAGTCTGTGAGATTTAGTAAACAAAGAGACGTGGGTCTGAAACAATGTAGCACCTATTGGTTTCTGTGTGCCAGAACTGTCTTTATTGGATACTAGATCTTAGTTCCATCAGACTAAGGCAAATACATGAAGAGAGGTGGGGGTTGAGGCTTCAAGGTGGTTTAACCATGTGGGATTGCTGCAGCAAGCAATGTAAGTGACTTGGGCCATGTTAAGTTTAAAAAGGCAGGGAGAGGGGGAAGAAACTCTGAGCAGCTTAGCAAATTGAAGGAAGGCTAAAAAAAAACAGTCTGAAGAACCAGGTATTTCCTGGAGATCTGGATGGTCTAGAGCTTGCGCCATTATAAATGAATTCCAACCAATTTTCAGTTTCTGTGATTCCATACGAGTGACATTGTAGGGACTGTGTCTGATTGACTAGTCAATCCCCAAAGCTGGTCTCCACCCAGGAAATCAACTAAGAATCCATCAAAAGGGGCTGGAGAGATGGCTCGACACTTAACAGCACTGGCTGCTCTTCCAGAGAACCTGGGTTCGGTTTTCAGCACCCACGTGGCAGCTCACAATCCCAGGGCATCTGATGCCCTCATCTGTCCTCCTCAGGCACTGTATACACATAGTTCACAGACATCTCTGCAGCAAAACACCCATACACATACACTAAAGGGATGGGGGAATCTACCAAGTTTGTATCCAACTGCAGAAGGGTGTTTCCTGTGGATAAACTGGGCTGATATAGAAGAAGTGAACGCCAACAGGTAAAAAGAGAGTTATTCTGTAAGTGGGTGGGCATAAGCTACAAATGACTTTGCCAATCATAGGGAATGAAGAATTACTAAAGAGTTTTGACAAGAGAGGAGACATGATAAATCCCAGGCAGAAGCTTCTGACTAACTTAACCTGGTTGTCAGGTTGTTTTCGTACTCAATGAATCATTTTATGTCTATTTTAAATGCTCAAGGGAAAGAAAGAACACATGCTTTCCTTTTGCTTCTCTGCATGGGCTAACCAGGGGTGCCTTTTGTTTCTCCCTGAGGGCTACTGGAGTAGGAGAGGAAGCATATTGAGCAAATCCCAGCTGACTGGGAGAGCCTTTCTGCTCTGCCTGGATCATATCCTCCCTAGTTTGACCTAGGAGAATCCTGGCACCTTGGAGCAAGTTGTTTGCTGAATTTTCAGGAACTTTGTAAGCCAGCTCCTCGGTTCATTCAGTAGTAACAGCTAGATTGTATAAACCTAAAAATGGAACGAGGATAACATCTACTCAAAGCCTCCTATCTATTTCACAATCATTTTTATTCCATGAGTCAGCTTCACGTCACATCAACAAAATGCTGGACACGGGCTATGAGTAAAAGAAAGTGGTGCTATTTAGCTCACAGTTTGGGAGGTTCAACGGCACAGCACGTGCATCAGCTCAAATCTGGTGAGAGTTCTGTGGTAGAAGGCAGATGGTAAAAGCGTATGTTGTGTGAGCAGACATATTTCAAGCCAGGAAACAGAGATATCTGGAAGGGGCCAGGATTGCTCCTTTTGTAACTACTCTCTTCTGAAGAGCTATCAGGAGGTTGCATTAGAACTACGGTGTCAGATGGGAACTACCATGGGTCATGTGAGAAGGACTTCTTACCACTGAAGACCTAAGGACCTCCTACTTAGGCCTGATCTCTTAAATGTTCCACCAGCTGCTTGGGGACCAAGCCTCCTCTCCAATGGACCGTTGCAGACATTCAAACCATAGCACTGAGGTTATTTTTCATAATTGTGGAATATGCATATGCATTGTATGATAGGGGAACTTCATAAGGCGCTACTGGACCTCTTATTGCTCTGCCAGGGATAGCATACTGGTAACTCAAGATTGACAATGGTGGGTGAATTTACACAAGTCAGGTAAGAAAAACCCACAAGCTAGGGCTTCTTTACCTCAGAGAAAGCTACTAATCATTTACTAGTGTACCCCACTCCCTTCCTTTCCAGGGACCCCAACTCCAAGAATAACAATTAGAAACGGAGGCAGCCTTTTTACTTGATTGATGGGCCAAGAAAGAAAACAAAGGTGGTTAAAGTCCAGCTAGTTTATTTGTTTTGTTAAGAATCTAACATGCAGTTATTAGTTCTGACACAAGAATGAGGAGGGTTGGAGAGTACAGGACCAGCATCTCCATGTTGCCACTCATGAGCCGTTTCCCAGTGGCACTAAGTCTGAATGCATCTCGGCTTATTCTTTACTTGTGCTTCCCAGATGGACAAGAAAGCACACAGAGACGGCGATGGCGCTATTTCTTTTCTCTCCAGACAAATTTCTGAATTCTAGAATTTATTTTCTGCTCTGGAAATCTTCTGAAGGAAGTGAGGCTGGAGACTGCGGTCTGTCTCACGTCCACATGGTGGCCACGGCAGACAGTGTCAAATGCAGTGGAGACGGAGCTGTCTTCCAGATCGCTTCTCTCTCCTTACTTAACTGCTGGATCTAGAGTTACCCCTCCTTTATCCCCTCTCTTCCCCAAAGACATATTTGGTTACACTACAATAATTTCCAGAAAGGGAAACCTTAAACGTAGTTTCTAGGCACACACTACATCTTACAGAACAGATTTACACTCAGAGTTCTTCATTAGCTGTCCTTACACTTTTTATCTAGACTGCGCTAACTTTGGCTGGGCAATCGTCTGCACATGACATGTACAAAGGGCTAGTTTGGAGCCAGGGTAAGACAGGAGGAGGATGGAAAGGGAGGTGCTGTTGGGGTCCACACGTGCCCACTGCCCCTCAGGAACTGAGGAGGAACAGTTGTCTTCACTAGTCTTGTCCCACACCTTCCATGTGACTTCAGCCGAGCGGTTCCTGTTTGCTCCTCTTTCCTTTGCCGTGAGTCAGACTTGGGGGTTGACACCTCCTTCCTCCTCTGTACATGAGCTCTGGTAAGATGAACACCTTGGCATTTCTTGCAGCAACAGATTCTCGTGTGATTAAGGATGTTGTTTGTCTGCAACATGATTCTTAGGACTTCAGGATCATCCCCTCATTTTACACATTGTCCCACTTTTTATAAAACGGTCTCTTGGTTTACTGAGCTGTGCCTTCTTCGGATGTGATGTGTGTCATTGCTTCAGGTTGTACTTTAAAATATGATCGTACAGTTTGGACAAGGCCTTCTTTCTCTTCTTATTTCTACGTTAGTAAGTTTTTGAGAAGAAGAATTAGACCTTGAGAAGGAGAAGGCTTCTCCTCCCTATTACCTTAGAGAAAGCTGTCATTGAGAGCAGAGGGATGACAACCTGTCATCCCCAGAGTTAAACAGAGGCGGCCACCACATCTCACAAAATGCCAATTATTTTTGTGAGTCTCCAAACCAGATTGATCTTCAGGAATATTTGTTCAATGCTGTGTCGGATGCATCACCTGAACATCAAGGGCCAAAGTCATGGAAACCAGATAGGTCTTTTTACGAAGCCCTGGATACTAGGGATTTCCCAGACAAGCTTGCAGCTCTAACTGAACGTTGAGCAGCTCTAGCTTTCCTGGCGCAGACCTCCCCTAATGGGGGTGCTAGGACCACTATCCAGTCATTAGCCATTTTCCCCTGGAAGGAGCCACACTTCTGTTGTCTTCTAGTCAAGGCATCTTTCATTGGCAGGACCATGTGCTCTAGGGGTTTAATGAGTCAGAAGTAAAGCTGGACCTAATAGAACCCCGAAGCATCGTAATCCTAATCAGTCATGATTCTGTGCCCCCAAACAGAGAGCATGGATGTACCACAAAGAGCACAGACCATCCAAACGGGACCTGACAGGAGCTCTGTGGTGGCCGAAGAGGAACCTTATTCCAGTCATTTAAATAGTTGCCCATCTGTCTGTGGTCATTATATGGAATCAAAATGTTGTTGAGTCTCCTCTGAGGAAACGAGCTTCTAGAATGTCTACCTTGATTAACTCTCACCACAGAGCTGAGGGGACAGATGGAAGACACCCATCTGTCCCCCACCCTGTCTTACTGTTGTTGGAGGAACAGCTCAGGGAGCGAGGTTCCAGAAAGCAGGCTCCAGGCACGGTGGTCAACTCATCAGTTCTTATGATACCCCAGAGGGAGGCAGGCAGCAAGGGCCATTGCTCGTTTGTAGACAGAAAACCGAGGTATGGAGAGGATAAGGCGCAATGATGACTCCGCCACTGACTGGCAGAAACAGGAGGAAAATCCTGACCGCTAGGCGCCCGTGTCTGTTTCTTCCAGCATAGACTCCGTTTTGTTGGGAAGGCCAAAAGAGAAGCAGCGGCTTATACGGGGGCCCAGCAGCTGTGGGCAGTGAAGTGAGACACTACTTCATCTGACATCCAGCCAAGACAAGGAGGCCAGCAGCCCTCCCTTGCAGCTCCGCAACTGGCTCTGAGCAGCACTGGCAATGTAGCCTTAAAACAGGACTTAGTTTTCATTTCCTTTTTTTTTTTTAATTTGGTCTTAATTGAAGTACTGGGGATTGAACTCAGGGCCTCACACTTGCCAGGCAAGCACTCTACCACTGAACAATCTGATACTACATATGTATGCTACTACATATATGATACTACTTTTGTATCAAGTCCTAGTTGAGATGCCCCCCCCCCCCCGATTTTGGTCAGAAAGAAGGTTCTTTTTAAACCGTAAGCACAACTGTAGGGGTGATAGGGCAGCTATGAGGGTCAAGAACACCTTAGGCTCTTGGGCTTGGGATTTTTGCTACTGTTCTCATTGCGTACGACAAGGTCTGTGTGGGGTTGTTATGACCTGGCAGGGGTAAGATCCCAGCAGTAGCAGAAAGTCACATGTTGGGAAGGTAAACAGGGCCTTCCGTTCAACTGTTCCTTGCTCGATACAGTCTTCTGTTGAAAATTTGTTACTTTGGTTTTCTAGATAGATATATAGTTAGCCTTTCTCTCTTAAATGCAGATTTCTTAGGCATAATTATATATATATAAAAGAAAACAAACCATTCATGAGTTTATTTTCGGAATTGCTTTGGCTTAGAATGTGGCGCCAGGCAATTAGAGCATGAATTTTCCTAGGGAGGGATAGTTTTCGGAGGCTTATCCAGAACAAATATGTTAAAATGAGGGCCAAGAGAGGACTTTCCACTCTGAGATGTATTGCCAGGGAGTAGAACTGGTTGAAGGGCAGTTTTTCTGGGTACCCTGGTCCAAGTCTCTGCCCTATTAGCTCCTCCACTTCCTACCCATCTCTGGCACGCAGTTCCCGAGGCATGGTGTTCTGGCATATTCGGCCTCTTGACGTTATGATTCTGTTGTCTACAAAGTTCACAGTGGGGCATCACGGATTTGAAGCACAAAGAAGTTGCAAGAATCTTACACTGTTCTACGTAAGTGTGGTGCACAGCTTCGAGTCAACTAGACACAAGCTAGAGCCATCTGAGAGGTGGGGACCTTCATTAAGAAAAACGTCTCCAAAAGATTGGCCTGCAGGCAAGACTGTAGGGCATTTTCTTAATCCGTGATTGACGACGGAGGGCACTGCCCATATTGTGTGTGCTGCCTTCCCTGGCTGGTGGTCCTGGGTTCTATAATAAAGCGGCTGAGCAAACCACGAGAAGCAAGCTTCTTCATGGTTTCAGTATCAGTTCCTGGAGGTTTCTGCCCTGTTTGAGTTCCTGTCCTGACTTCTTCCAATAACGGATGACAAAGTGGAAATATAAGCCAAAGGAGCCCTTTCCTCCCCAACGTGCTTGTGGCCGTGGTGTTTCGTCACAGCCATAGTAGCCCACACTAAGACAGCACGTTTGTGATGCTGTGTTGGGCTGCATTCGTGCTTGTCCTGGGTGGGATGTGAAGCCCAGTAACACCAATTCCTGCCTTCTCTTTAAAAGAATGAGATAGGTAGATACTAAGGTCACATTACTTGATTTTATCTGCATTATCTGTCTGTCTATCTATCTATCTATCTATCTATCTATCTATCTATCTATCTATTTCTTCTGGAAATCAATCGAGTAAAATTGTTCCCTGTGTGAAATATTCATATGTACTTTATATTCTCCCCTGTTTGGACTCGGTGTTTGAGGTGGGTTGGCTGAGACCTGTGAGGTTCCCCTTTAGTCTCTGCGCCCCGGGGGATACAGTGCAGACTGGCTACGGACAGCACATCCAGTTGGTAGTACTCGAGTAAGCCTCTTTCCTCCCCTGCCAGTTCCCCGCTGATAGACAAAGCATGAGAGCGGCCTCCCTCAGGCCAGGCCTGTGGGCAGGCGTCCTCTAGCTTGGAACTCTTTCTGCTCCCAGCCCTGGGAAAGGAAATGCAGATTTTAGGCTGAATACTGATGTTAGAAGAGGAGAATTTTTTAAAAAGGATTTCTGTTGCTCCAGGGAAGAAAACTGCAATTGGGCTTGAAAGCCTAAAGCCTTTTCATTTCCCGGGGAGAGGTTTGATAGCCTGCGTGCTCTCTTACTGTGCCCAGGGCATAATTCCTGCCAATCAAAGGCTCCACTGCTTTCAACCGGAGGGCACAGTGACCCAAAAGAACGGTCAGCAAGAACTCTGGGCATCTCCTGGACTGACGACTTAAAACATTTCAAATTGATAAAATGAAGTTGGGAAACCATAAAAAGAGGCCAAGACCATAAAAAAGTGAGGCAAATTCCTTAGCAGCTGTGGGCTCATTAATGTAAACTGCTGTTGCAAATTGATAGCCCATAGGTTAAATCTGGGCACATTGCATTTGCTCCACATATTGTATTTAAAATTAACGTGCTAAAATTTCTCTGATATCTCTCTCTCTCTCTCTCATTTTTTTAAATAGATGTACAGGTATCAAGGAAACTATTTCCTGGAAGCAGCCAGCTATTGCCCCAGCCTTCACAGCCCTTCCTCTCTCTATCATATTCTATCATATCCTATTAGAGCAGGGCCACGTTAACCATTAAATCATCTGCCTGGATCCTGCAGGCTTTTGAGTTTGAGATCACTCATGTAAGATCAGGGGCTTCTGCTAGGGAAATGCTGGGTTCGGGTCTGACTGATTCAGCGAGCTTGAGACAAGCCTAGTAAAAGGTTAGGAGGTAACCCCAAATCTGACCTGATGGTTTCCCATGGGGGAATGAGAAAGAGAGTAAAGCCCCCCATAGTGGTTGGGATAGAAGATAGGGCAGGCGTGTGAAACCCGGAACTTGACTAGGACGGGGGGTTTACCTTGGTAGCCGGTACAAATGGGAAGGGCTGTCTTCCAGTTGTACAGCTTGCTCAGTTCTAAGACATCATCTATCCAACTAGGGGTGGGGGTGGCCCCAAGGACACCGAAGGCTCCAAGTGTGTTGGCACGAGCTGATTTTATCTTGGCCTGTATTAGCAGGAGGTGAGATGTCTCTCTTCCGCACCACTTCATATGGTGAGATCGTCTGACCTGGCCCTGCTGCTGGCTTTGCTCAGCCTGCTCAGGGGCCTGTTGTCATCGGTTGTCAGCTCCGGACAGAGCGCAGGGGCCTTCTCAGCAGGCAGACCTTGTTTGGTTACCTTTTCAACTTGCAGGTCTTCTTTCTCCCCGTCCTTCCCTACTCCGGGGGTCTCTGCTTTCTCCCCATCTGGCACCGCGACCCTCTCCTGCCCTTCTGGGGTCACCTTCTCTGCTTCCTGCTTCTTCTCTCCCACTTCGGGTTCCACGGCCTCCTCTACAGGCTGCTCTTCCTCCTCGACTTCCGGGGCCCCCACCTGAGCATAAGAAGGCAGGGTTTCTTGGTAACCCCGTGACATATCTGCCAGGGGTCCCGCGCCAATCTTCTCCTCAAACTGACCGAAAGGCTTAGCTGAAAGTGGGCTGGTCTCCACCATTCCAACCTCAGTCAGAGGGAAATAGTGGGACACGATCTTCTCTTCTTCTAGAAGCTGGTATCCCTTGGCTTTCTGGATGGAGGACACTGCGATGGAGTGGAGGGACTTCTCGGGGATCTCCCCCAGTGGCTGCTCCACAGGCCTCTTGAAGGCAGACCGGATTCCCTTCATGCCCAGGTGGCTCATCTCCATGACGTTGAGGAAGAGGGACACAAAAGCGACGGACAGCATGAACAGGATGAAGATGGTTTTCTCAGTAGGCCGGGACACAAAGCAGTCCACCACATTGGGGCAGGGCCACCTGCTGCAGCGATAGAGGGGCAGGATGCGGAAACCATACAGGAAGTAGTGGCCCACGATGAAGCCCACCTCAAAGAGGGTCTTGAAGATGATGTGGCAGACATAGGTCCTTAGCAGTGTGCCCTCCAGCCGGAACTTCTTGGTGCCTTTGCTACTGCTGCTGCTCTTCCTGATGCTGGCCTGGTCCGGGGCGATTGGTACCCTTTCACCCCCGTTGCTGCGGGACTGCTGACACAGTTCCTCGGCTTCGCGGTCCTTTCGCTTCTCCTCCATGCGGACGTGATGTACCGCGTGCCCCACGTACATCAGCGATGGGGTGGAGACGAAGATGATCTGCAGGACCCAGAGGCGGATGTGAGAGATGGGAAAAGCCTCATCGTAGCAGACGTTCTCGCAACCTGGTTGCTGGGTGTTGCACACAAAATCAGACTGCTCATCGCCCCACACAAACTCAGCTGCCGTGCCCAGGATGAGGATGCGGAAGATGAAAAGGACCGTGAGCCAAACTCTGCCAATGACGGTGGAGTGCTCGTTCACCTCCTCCAAGATGTTCCCCAGGAAGCTCCAGTCACCCATTGCTCACCACCTGGGAAGCAGAAGGCAAAACCTAAGTGGTCGCAGTGCAACTCCGAGATGACCTTCTTCCCCAGCTCTTGGAGTGTTCATCTTTCTAAGCTGATGGACCAGTCATCGGGGTGAACAGTCTCCATGGAGTGCCTTGTTTGTGTGGACTAGTGCTAAGGGACGAAAGGGACCGTGAAGGGGGGTTAATGCTAATCTGTAAAATAGTGTTACTAATAATATCTGTTCTCATTCACCTCACAAACTGCTTGAAAGGGTCCTTGAATACGTGTCTGTATTACTACTTGAATTTATTGTGATTTACTATGGACCAGAAGTAGAAAGCTGTGGTTATATGAATTTAAATTAAGACCACATGGTGATGGAAGATTCATGAATCCTAATACTAAAAACAAACCTATACTATGGGTTCCTGGGCTCCTGACAACGTTGTTATGAGAATGAAATTGTAAGTTACATATTCCAAAACAGACCATATGTAATATTCCTTGTACTATACATGATCATGTATATAAAATTAAATGGGAGAGAATGAACATTTATTGAGCAATTTTAATGGGCAGACCTTTGATACTGCATTAATTCTTTCATCTTAATCCTGTTAGACTTTAAGCTCTTGGGTGGTAGGGACATGCCTTGTTGTATTTTCTGCTGCGTAGCCAATGCCTGCACACAGCCCAGTAATAGGACTTTATATGAGTTTTTGAAAACCAATCTGCTTTCAACATGTGAGACAATGGGGCCCTTAGAGGCGAAGCAGATGGTCTTAGGCCAGACAGCGAAACACTGGCAGTTCCGTACCTGATCCCAAAGGTTTGATTCTCAAACTGTTAAGAAATAAGACCTGCGACGTGGGCTACACGTTTTGCTGACAGCTATAGTCTTAATTTATGCTTTCTTTACTTGAGGTTGAGAGCTGGAAACCCCTCTTAATAGTTTTACAAATTGAGGGCAGTATATTTTGATTATTACCCCTTTAAATCCCAAGTGCAGAGAGGGTGCTCTCGGAGGGAGTTGTGTTACCCAAGTCCACGAGGACTGTTCAGTGTTTCACAGAACGACTAGGCTGCGGGATTAGTCACAGGTGGTTGTTTAAATATAAAAGTTTGATCTGTAGGGGAAAAAGCCATTAAACACAATGATATATAATGTCTCTAGCATAGCAGGGGCTGGCGGGGAGAGGACCGAATTGACTGGGAGGGTGTGAGACTATGGTAAAAACAAGTAAAGCCTCCCCCATCACTTTAGGTCTGTTGTCTCTCCACATTGAACATCTCTGAAGCTGTGGAACTCCCTCATGCCTGCCCTAAGAACAAGACAATAGCTCCTGTTGGAGGAGCCTCCTCTGGGTTTCTTCTGGCCATCATCCAGAAACAAATGAGAAAATTCACAGTTGGATGATCCATCTAAACATCAAGCCCACACACGAGACAGAACCAGGGAGGTTGGTTTCTTGTTAAATAGTTCTGTTTTCTCCTGTAAGACTTATTATTTCTGTGTACTTAATCTTACTCCCTTAGAACAGACCATTCTTGAACCACTTTCGGCTTTATCTTACATGACCCATCACAGCACAGAGCAAAGCACTTCAGAGTGAGGGGATTCTCTAGATGCCAGAGGATGGGACTGAGGGTGATGGATTTAAGATCTGAAAGTCTCAGCTCCCATAAAGACAATTCTCACCCCAATTCAGGGGCCGCCAGTCTTCTTCTACATAGCAGTAACGAGAGCAAGAACTCATGATAAACAATAATCAAGGTTATAAAATTTAGAATAGACAAGAGGATTTTTAAGAAAATGCAAACACCAGGAAAAAAAAGAACAAAGTAAAATGATCCAAACTACCTATCTTGAACCAAAAACAAACCAGCCTTCCCATCTGCTGGGGTGGATGGTGCTTGTTTTATGAAACATTGAGATATAAATGGGTAGACAGTGACCCTTAACACAACACACTGTGTTGTGATACATGGTCACGGCCCAAGACCTTCCTGACAATGATATTAATAACTTCTGAAAGTCAGAGCAAAGCGTGTCCTTTGTAACCCATCCTGCTACATTAGGATTGTTCTGAATTTTTAATTTTTCCCTTTATGTCTACTCAAGAGTTTTGTGCCAAGTTTCAGGCAACTGTAACTTAGGACAAAATCTCCCTACTAGCATGGCGGTGAAGCAGGTCCCTTCTGCTGTTCAGGAGAGAGGGTTTAGAGATGCTGGGGGAAGTGTTTGGGGAACTGCAATATGTTTTAGATTGTGTGTGTCTTTGTGTGTGTGTGTGTGTGTGTGTGTGGTGTGTGTGTCTCTCTGTGTGTAAGTCTGTGTGTGTGTGTGTCTCTGTTTGTATGTCTATGTGTGTCTGTGTGTGTAGGACAGAAACAACGTTTGGGGGAGTCAGTTCTTCTCTACCATGTGGGTTTCTGGGATCACACTTAAGTCGTCAGGCTTGGTGGCAGGAGCCTTTACCTTTAACCCACTGAACTCTCTTATTGCCTTTCTCCTCTTAAATTTAAATAAATTATTTGAAAAAATTATTTTTTTATTTAATGTGTATGATGGTTTTTCTGAGTGTATGTCTATACCTCTCTGTGTGCCTGGTGCCTGCAAAGTCAAAAGAGGTCATCAGACCTCCTGGGACTGGAACCACACATGCCTGTGAGCTCCCAAATGGCAGGTCCTCTGGAAGGGCAACAAATGAAGTTAACCACGGAGTCATCTCTCTAGCCACCCACCCTTTAAATTGTTATGTGTTTGAATTGTTGTCTCTCTTTTTCCTCCATGGATAAAGATTGGACTAAGCATGCCAGGCAGGCACTGTATGACTGAGTTATACCCCCAGCCCTGGTCTTAACTCGCATGTGCAGTGAACATTCAAAGCAGTAAAGCCACAGCAGCATGCTGGGGCCTGGAGAAAGTGGGAGCCACAGCCACTCATTTTTGCCGTCTTCTCTGTTGTATTTTGTTGTGAAAATGGAGTGTGTGCCAATCTAGTACAGATGAAAATTAAACGGATGCTCTTTTTCAAGCCTCAACCCCAGGACCTCCGTTTATTCCTGGCGACTTCGCACTCAAGAACTGTGGGTGGAGGTGATCACTGAAACCACAGTTTATGTCGGAGAGCTCACCTCTGCCTAACAGCGACACACTGATGTGTCCCGTCAGTCCCCACGACAAGTTATGAGCTAAGCAGTGGCTCTCATATTGGGATTTCAGATTACTAAACACAACAAGCACAATAAACGAGCACACAGCTGCCAAGTCCTTATTTTAAAAATAAGAAATGTTTTAGATCACTAAACAGTGTCTAGAGTCTGATCCCACCCTCGCTTGATCAAAGGTGGGCTTTAAGACCCCAAAACTTAAAGAGGACACAATTTCAGAAAAAAAGTCAATTCTTTAAATTGGACACCTTTAACTTGGCGAGACATTCACCTCTTTGTTCCCTTCATTACAGTTACATTTTTGTCACGGGCTGTCAACATTTTGCCTTGAGCTAAAATGGACAAATCTACATTTTGAGACCCAGAGAATAAATTATTGTCACTACGATCACGGAGGGGCAAGCTGAGAAGTTTATTGACTCTCCTGAAGTAGTCCATCTAGGGAGGACAGACTTCAGATGTGAGGCCTACTCTTCCCCACTCCGAGCCCCCAGGGATTTTCCAGGGCTGTGTGGCCTTTTCGTGGGTTTGAAGGCACAGAAACACATAAACGTCCATGCTTGCAAGGTTTTCAAAGCTCCAGGGGACACAGACCACTCTGGCTGCAAGTGGGGAGTAAGCGTTCCTCCATCTTTGTATGTAGGGCCACTAGGCAGCAACTCTCACCAACAGACAACAGAACCCACCCCTGGAAGAGTTTTAGGACCCCATGTACGGCTTTAGCATTGAGAACCCTGAGCAGGTGGCTTCCCCTCTACTCACAGCACCCAACGATTGGGACGTTCCCTCCCTTCTCAGAGTTGGAAGCGGGAAAAAAATGATTGGTAACTGGAATGCTTATATTTATATTCCTCTGGATTCCTGGAGGCACGCTCATTCTCTCTGAAAATGAAAAGACCTTAAGAAGTCAAGAGTTGGAACTCGAGCATCATCTCGATTCACACCCACCGTATCCCAGCACTCTCTCCCTTCCAAACCTCCACACACCCTTAGACGAGCTCTCAGTGGGTTTTCGAGGTTGAGCTGTAAGTGCGGCCACCTCAGCCCAGTAATAGAGCTTGGTGGCATCTTTCTTCGTCTTGGAGAAAGCTGTGTATGGCCCTGAATGTGCTGGAAAAGAATCAGCGAAGGGAAGGTTACAGTGTAGCAGCCCAAGGAAAACTTGCCAGTATGAGTTGGGTCCCACGGAGACACAGGTGCCGTCTTTCTCTCTTGGTGCTCGGCAGGAAAATGGCAACTTTGGTGTCTTTCCTTTGCCACCTAAAAGCCCACCTCACCCTTCTCTACCCCGCCCCTAATATGCTGCACGACTGAGCAGATATGACTGGATTGGTCCTGATGGGTAGGTTTTACTGTCCAGCAATATTTTAAGCTCCCAGCCAGACGGCTTTTCTGAAGGGAGGGACCTTTGGGAAACAATGGGAGGGAGAGAATGGGAGAGCTAGGCTGGGCACCCGGGGTGGGGGGTGGCGGGAAGCGGACGTGGGAAAGCTTAGCTGGGGCTTCTGCAGGCTCCAAATGTTTCTCTTAGCTACAGACTGGCCTTCTATGAGGGGAAATCTTCGGCTTCTTGCAGAGGGCAGGTGTGTAGGGGTCTTTCCCCGGGCCCTGAAGCTATCATCTTTGACACTCTTAGTAATGTAGGGAGAGTAACAAGTGCCCATTGCCCGGTCTTCTGCTTCTAGTCAGACTAAATGAGAAGGGGTGATTCCTTTCAAAGGATGGTATTTCATCCTCCATCAGGGCTTGATCTTGTGACTCAACACGCTTAGTATGCGTCCTCCCCGATGGCTCTGTTCCTAGAAACAGTGGGGTGCGGCACACAGTTCTCAGTCCCAGCTGGGAGACACATGCCCCCAGGTGGGTCAAGGAAAGCACCCAAAGCCCCCGAAGCAACGCAGGTTCTTGTCACTGCTCACGCTGCCCACCAGAACGAGAGGCTAAAATCACACTGAGACACCACACACTCTGATTGTCGGGGAGAGAGAAAGCAGGAGGCACTGAGCTAGAATTCCTGCCACGTTGGCTGGCAGTCAAACCACAGTGGGCGCTAAGCAGGATGCTGCGGGAGAAAGGCCACCACTGACCTTGCCCAGTTCTGAGCCCTGTGAAACAGAAGTTCAACCTGCCAGGCACAATAGGCCTGCATCACCTGTGCAAAAGTGGCTTGATGATGCCGGGTACCCAGATGCCTTCTAGTTGGAGTGTTTGGTGGTGGTGGTGGGGGATGACAATGCATTCCTGGTACTTTAAGTCCAGCCAACAACTGAGGTCTAGGGAGACTCGAGGCTCCAGTGGGGGAGCTTATGACCGATAGTTAACTAAATCGACAAAGCAAACTGCCTTCTAGATATCTATGCTTCTGTGAATAGACAAAGCTGATCCTAGAGAAGCCTCTTCCTGCAGAGTATCAGCGAGAGCAGAGACCCAGGGATTTCCAAGATGCTGAGAATAAGCAAGAGTTGTGAGCCTGGCCTAAACAAGATGGGTGCACCACTCCCTCTGGGCGCAGAGAACACTGAAAAGAGAGGACCGCGAGTTCGTAGAACAGAATATAGGGCTAAGGGCTATAAATCGCCTTTCTTTAGACTCGGTACAGCGGCTGTCATTATTAAACTCTGAATAATAGTAACTATCAGCACTGGGTCCACACAAGACTGCCTCTGCCAACTGTCAATCAACGAGGTGGGAGGGGCTCACGAGGCCCTACCCTGTACTTCTGAGCTATTGGCTATTGATAGGTTCTGAGAAAGGAGGATCTATTGTCTGTGTTGTTTACTCTCTGCTGAGCCTACCAGGCTCCAACAAATAGCACCAAACCCAGGGCCGCACAGACAGCCCTGGTTCGACTCAGTAGGTCTCAAAACAAAAGGAATAGGCATGAACACGATGGCAATATTTGCGGGGAAGGGGCAAGGGGGAAGACGGTGGGGAGGTAGGGTTAGAGCGGTCAGTATGTGTTGTGTACACAAGTGTAATTATCTCAAAACAAATTTAATGAATAAAAGAGTAAGCTGTGGACTCTAAAGGGCTCGGGCATCATTTGTCAATTTTGTATGGTTTCTCACCTCATCACCTACAAGTACCTTTGAGAAGCTGCATTGCGTGGAGGGATTATGTAGGACTGCACGCTTTCTGTAAACAATGGTGTGATGGTTTGCTCCTCAAGAGGGTCTGGATGAAGTATCACTGTAGCCCCATAAAGAATGACCCTAGGAAGTCACCTTAGGAGGCACGGACATGTGCTGTCCGAGAGCCACACCCCTTTCATTGTCTGGGAACGAAAAGTGGCTGTTTTGACCACGCTTTCCCAAAGAAAGATTTAAAGCAATTTATTTTCCTTTTAACTGTGTGTGTGTGTGTGTGTGTGTGTGTGTGTGTGTGTGTGCAAGTATGTCTATGCGAGAGAGCAGGTGCCCATGGAGCTGTAATGACAGATACTGCGAGCTGCTGATGTGTCTGTGTGGCTCCTGGGAATACATTTTGAGGCCTCTGCAAGAGTGTGTGTGCTCTTAACCCCTGACCTGTCTCAGGGTCCAGGCTGACCTCAAATGTGCATTTCTTCTGTCTCAGCCCCCCAAGTAGCTGGGATTGCAGGCACACACCAGAATTTGGGGTAGTTTATTCTACCAATTTACTCATGGAAATAATGGGGCAAAATAACTGGTATTTGGATTCTTTCAGGAAATAACAATGCTCAATTACTTAAACACAAATGAAGGGCAAAACTGGCTCCCTAAAAGTGGAGTGCTTACTCGCCACCCCCATTCCACTCTGTTTTTTTCTTCTGTTTTCTGTGGCCATGAACACATCTCATTTTACAGGGTGAAGGAGAGTGGAATCAACCCGTGTAAGTCTTAAGCACCACTGTCGTTAAAATGTTCACTAACCCACAACCTCACTTACTTTACACTTCTGATTTCTTTCACATTCCCAAGTTCAAAAGAAATAGCCCACGTGCGCTAGGGCAATGCCTTCCAGGGAGCCCTTCCATTGACAACAGGTGGTTAAGACTGTTCTCTTGATAGCAATGAGGAGAGGAGCCAGAAGTGGGAGAAAGGGGGAACACCCTTTTGGGGATCACCCACATGCTCATTCCTGTAGTTCTGCTCTCTCTGAGAAATTCCAGGACCTACAGAACTTGTTATCAAATGACTCCCCTCAACCTAATCTAGGAGTGACTGATTGACCTTGGCTGCTGTGGTGGGTGGCATCCAGTGCCATTGTGTAGACCTTTGGAGAGGACTGAGCACAGATGGGCAAGATGACAAATAGCTCTGGTCATAGTCTCGTGGGTTTGGGACATTTCTCTCTTTCCTCCTTTCTTTTCTCTCTTCCCTCCTTCCTTCTCTTCAAACTTCCTTCCCTCCCCTTAGTTTTCATTAAGACAATTTTCTTCTGTAGCCCAGGTTGCCCAGAAACCATCACGTAGCCCATGCTGGCCTCACACTTAGGGCAGTCCTCCTGCCTCACACCACTGAGTGCTAGGATTAAAGTCATTATGTCTGGTTAGCTTTCTAGTACTTCTTTTTAGCACTTGCTTTGCTTATTTACTTGGTTGACACGGAAGAACATTCTACTAACAAGGCCTAATCAACTGTTGTGGGCTTTTTTTCTCTTCTATGAGAAGAGGTCTCGCTTGCCACGTAGTCCAGGCTGCTCTGGAACTTTTGATCCTCTTGCCTGAGTGTCCCCAGGTACTTTGATTATAGTCATGTACCACCGCTCCTGAGAATTAAGTTTCGTTGTCGGCTCTGTATGCAGTTAACAAGCGCTTGAAAATATTAGCACCCAATCTCATACCTTCTGGACAAAAAGTTTGGAAAAACATGAGGAGTAAGGTTCACCTTAGCCTAACTGGGAAGAAAGGACATGTCTATGCCAGCCAGGAACCTGAGATGGTCTTGTAGTTCATTCAGTAGGAAGTCTTCTCATGGAGGCTGCATTGCTTTGTTTTTTTCCCTTGTCTTTTTCTTTTTTGAAATGTGGTCTTCCCGTGTAGCCCTGGCAGGCTGGGAGCACCTCACTATGAAGACCAGGAGGTCTTCTAACTCACAGGGATCTGTCTGATTGCTTCTGCCTCCTGAGTGCTGGGATTTAACTGCACTTGGCATCATATGGCATTATTTGATCTCTGAGTCTCAAAAACACGAGGCATAAATCTAAATTTAAAGGCAGATTTCAACTTTAAATTCTGAAACTATCTAGATTATTAGAGCATGGCATTTTGGGTAATTCACTGGCCTTCTGCTTTTGGGAGCATTGAGGCGGTGATGTGTGGGAATATGGGGTTTGAAGCTGGGAACCGGACTGTCTATTGGTCAGTAGAGCCATCCAGCCCCTCACAGCCTCTGTTTTCTCACCACCCCTGCGGCTTTGAGTACAGGAGGAATCCACTTGTCACCTGTTGGCCATGCTAGCTGTCCTGTGCTCAGATCTATGGGTTGATTTGTCCCCAAGTCCACCTTGACTAAGATCATGCCCGGCCCACTCCCTCAGGGAGAAATCAGAACTGGGAAAGCCTGGGAGACATTACCAACCTCAACCCCCTCATCTTCCAGATAATGAAATGAAGGTTCAGAGCGAGCAGAACACTGGCAATCCAGGTACAGGCCGAGCCCATGCCTTCTGTGTGGTTCTGGTGCTCCTATGTCCAGGCTAGAGTCACTTAGGTAGCAAAGGTCTTTTGGCAACAGCAGGTAACACAAAGATTTAGGGGCCCGAGGCAACCACACTTGGTCTGTCCCTTTGGAGACTGGGAATGGAAGATGAACATGTTCCAGATTCTACTGTGTGTAAAGGGGTGGGAAGCCCCCAGAAATACCACAGAGGGCTGTGTGCAAAATGGATCACTTCCCTGAATATTTCTTAGTGACTCAGCGAGCAGGGCCTGGACACTCAGACAAGTGTCAGTTGAGGACCCACCCTTGAGGTCGAGTGGGATTGGGAGGGCTGGAGCTCACACAGATTCACAAGGTAAGATTTGGGCCCATGAGGGCACAGGCAATTCGGGGTGATGGCTCCAACCCACAAAGAGCTTGAGTGGCAAGGGCAAAAATATTTAGAAGTGTCATTTTTTAATTTCTTATTTTTTTTAAAAACCACGTACAGTTTCTTACTGGCATGTGTCCTAAAGCCCACTGCCATCAAGAAATGAGACACTCCACCACGTCCAACATGTGCCAGGCCCAATCTGTCTACCATGGATTTTGTTAAGCAGCCACTTTGCCAGGAATGCCAACATGGATGAGGCATGGCTCCTGGTGTGATGTCTCCATAGTACGTGGAGTGTGCACATGTGTGCTCTGCCATGAGGGACAGCAGCAGGAAAGGC